TGTCTTGTCTTAGGCTGGTAAATATTTTTCTAATTTGTTAGTGAAATGATTATCAAGTATTTCGTTGTTTCTAATTAATTCTTTCTTTTAACAGGTTAGGTCTTGTTGCCACTATCAAGGTACTAATCCTTATTTAGCAATTTTTGGCTTTTCCAATTATTAATATTATATCTTTGATAAAAGCATATTGAAGAACATTTTGCGACTAAAATCTTAATCTTGTTTGAGTTGTGCCCCCTTTCAATCATAGACTTGTTGCCAACTCGCAACAACATCCTACGACTAGTTAAATGTGATTATTGTTATTAGTTCTTTTGGATTATTTTTAACTATTTGTTTATAGCATATTGCTAATACTAGTGTTGCTTCATTTTGGCAACTTGTTTATGTCATGCAAAACCTTATTGATGTTTGTGCTTACTGTTGCCCCTTCGTGCCCTTTCTTACTTATGCTGAATCCATTATTCCATCATAAGGTTATTGATAAATCATGCAGTCATGTGTGTCCACTCTATTGTGATATGCCAATCATCTTGATTGGCACTCATTGATTTTAGTTGGCAACCTTTCAAGTTACTAGTCTGTGGCTGGACAAAATGTGTTCATGGACCAAAGATGGATTTGTTGTAGTTAGCAATCCCAGACAAAGTCATACAAGTGGTAGTTTTTAGGGCTTGTGAAATTTTATAGTGTGCGGTAAAGGTAGATGTTTATAAGTTAATTATCTTCAAAACTTAATTTCTAAGCTCTTCCTCTAAACAATTAGTTGAGGAAATTTGAGGGTTGCTGTCTCCCGTTGCATGAGGGAACTCATGCAAGGCATTTGCTTTGCTTGATCCCTGAAATTCTCTATTCTATATGTTAGTCCGGCTTTTTAGGCTCTTTTTTAGTTCATCTTTTTTATACATGTGACCTTGCCATACATGCATGCCAAAAAAGAAGGAGGTAGCAATTAGTTATGCAATCCAACATCTGTTTGTCTTTCAGATAATTCTCTCCTGGGCATTGTTCTATCTTCATATATGACTATGACTTTTAGCCCGCAGATACATGTCTTTGAAACATGATAGTTTCTCAACTCCTTTGTTGTTAAGCCAAGTCTAAAGATATTAACCAGTATTGTTGACGTCTCCACCATTAAATGGAATGTATTAGCTGATTGTTTATTCTACTATATATTAGTTTTCTCATGATTTTTTATGTTGTCATGTTGAGAATTATTTTGAGAAGGTTCTCTCTATGCCCTAGCTTCAGGTCATGAACATAAATTGTTCTCCGCATCTTTTCTTTCCTCTTTTGTAGTTGCTTATCCATCAGGCTGTTACCTGTAAACTGATTATTTATATCTATGGTCTCTTATTAGTTTTCAGTCCTTGATAAGCCTGAGTAGAATCTGACGTTAGATGATCAAGCATCATGTCCAAGTTGATGTAAACTAGAGCATCAACTTTGTTAGGAAGAATGTTCCTTCGGTTTTCTCTAGATTCAAATGTAATTGTTTAGGATTCTTTTTACCCTGAACTTATAATAAACACAAAGGGGGGGTTAGTCACCTAGAACTTTTTAAGTAGAACTGTGATAATTGGTAAAGTGGGATAATATTTTGACACTAGGATAATTTAGTAGAACAATGATGGGTAATTCTTAAAATGGGATAATTTGGTAGGATAATTTGGTGGGATAATGATGGATAATATTATGAAGTTGTATAATTTGGTAGGATAATTTGGTGGGGGGTAATGGTGGGTATAAATTAGCATTGTTAATAATTGTATATTAAAAATAATATAATATTGATAAGCAAATTCTAGTAATAACTATAAAATATAATGCAATAAAGCATCACTATTCATCTCAAATAATAAAATAATTTACAAATAAATAAAAATTTAAATCCCTAGAGTGACTCGACTTTCATCATCCCACACAGCTTCTATCATCCCACATGGCATCTGCCATAGAATTTCTCCAAGCTCCTACAACTGCTCGTTGAGTCTGTAACTCGTCTTCTTTATCGGAATCACCGTCTGCATCAGGAACATTTCGTGGAGCTTCTAGCGGAGGATCATAAATGTCGAAGTTCAAATCTCATAACATCATAAAGAAAGAAAAATAAACATTTTTCAGCCATTAACCCTTTGGACCAATCTCATCATGATCGCTGAAACCATATCAGCAAATAAATGAAATGTATACAGGAATCATCCATGGCCGCTAAACAGATGATCGACAGATGAACTATAAATATCCCAATCAATTTACTGAGCCGATTTAATAATAATAGATATCACCATTAACCATTCAACATCTAATTATCAATGTGATCGCAAAGTTGCTTTCTAACTTATAAAAAAAAACATAAATAGCCTGCATATCTTTAGCACTAACCCACCAACACTATATTCTTAACCTAAACCACTGTTGTGGAGATAAAACTTAGATCAAACAAATAATAATAAAGTAATTTAACGTCAAAAAGCTATCAATAAAGTAATACATCTTGAAGATAATAATAAAAGATCTAATCATCACAAAAACAAAGTAAAGACAGAAAAATGAACGGATGATTGACTTCATGGCAGAGAAATTTTCTAGGCGGAGAAACTAACCAAGAGGGAGGGAGGCGGCGTTTCACTTTTTTTCCCAATTGTATTCTTTTCAATGTGGGATAATTTGAGAGATGAGAACTTATGGTTATATATATAGGTAGTATAATTTGTGGGATAATTATGACCAATTATCCCAATTCTAATTCTAGTAGAATTCTACTTGACTAACGCACCAAAAAAATAATACAGTTCTAGTTCTACAAAAGTTCTACTTGACTAACACTATAAAAAAAATATCTCATTTCCTAGTTCTACTATGTGACTAACACCTTAAAAATTTATCCCACAAATTATCCCAATTCCAGTTTTAAGTTCTAGATGACTAACCCCCCAAAAGGTCTTTCTGTTTCATATGAGGAATTCTGGAATTTTATGGTATGATGAAGTGGGTTTAGGAATTTCATGAGTTCAGAAAACCAGATTGTCTCTCCGAAACCCATTTCACAGGTTTTACAGTTTTCTAAATATTTTTTCTTTTACTAAGTGAGTCTTGTGAGATTAACCCTGAATGCCAAAATCGGTAGTCAGAACTTAATGTTTATGAGGACTAGCATCCTAATTAAGAATTGAGGGTAAATGGATTAGCAAGCAGATGGAATTTACAGAGAATGAGAGAATGAAGGGAGGATCAATAACCATGAAGAAGATTTGGAAATGTAATTAAATATTCTCATGTTCTCACTCTAGGAGCATCTTTTATAACTAGGGAGAAAAATTTGATCAAATTTACCAGGGTTCCTAAGGGAAAAGTGAATAAAGGAAAATCTTGAGGTACAAAAGGGGAATGCAGAACACAATGTTTGTTGCTTACCTTCAATGAGCGTCGGAGATGGACACGCGTCGGAGACAAAAACTTCCAAAAGCGGTTAACCTTTATAATCGAATTGTCCCCTTGAACATTGCTCTTACTGCTGAATCATTTCCCTACCATGAGATAATTGGTTTAGCTATTCCTTTTTCTCAAACAAGTCAGTTGATAGGTTGAACCTCAATCCTTGTGCTCTGTGAATGCTTGAAAAAGCTCATATTCCAGTTGTTTTTCCTTGCCTCTTTGCTTTTTTCCTTCTTTTCTCCTGTCCCGATTCATCATTCATTAAATCTTCTTAATTGCGATTAATGTGTTTCCGATAGCCAACCAATAAGGTACCAATTGTAAGCTTTTAGGAATATTATACACAATAGGCATGTTTTCATGTTTTTTCTTTCTCTTTTCCCCCTAGACTTGTGATTATTATCTAGTCTTATGTGTTTTGATTTTGAGATTTTAATTAACTTGTTAGATTTAAATTGTACATCGTCTGTTGTCTTGTTTTTGTTCTGTTGTTTGAGTGGCATTTTTGTGTTATTATTAATTATTAAATTATGGGACTCAAGACTGCAAAGTATGTGTTTAAATCCAATGTTTGGTAACCCTTTTGTCTTCTACCATTTCTATTATAATTCAGCACTTGCCACTCATACCGAACTTCCTAGTAAGTCTTGTCAATAGGGAAGAAATAATTTCTATACATCTTGTTTTGAAAATCTTCAGTTTGTGATTAGTTTTTTTCTCTTTTTAATATTGCATTGAAATGTGAGTTCCTTAAACATCAGTAAGGATATCTTAGTTAGCTGATGTTGTCTGTCATAGCAGATTATTTTTATGTCCTAGTTTGCTGATACTCTTCAACTGTCTGTGAATGGGTTGAATAAGATGCTTACCTGTGTTTCAACTTTCTTTGTAGGACCGAGCCAATGAAATATACAAGAAGGTGGAAGACCTTAAATCCATTAGAGGAAGAAACCAAGATGCAATTTTGGCTGCTTGTCTTTACATTGCTTGTCGACAAGAGGACAGGCCTCGCACTGTAAAGGGTATATTTATATACTTTCCAGTTACATAAGTTCATCTATAATGGTATTTTTAACTAAATGGTGTATTTACTCTGTCTTAATGCGCTTCAAAATAGAAATCTGTTCTGTTGCCAATGGAGCTACAAAGAAGGAAATTGGCCGGGCAAAAGAGTTTATTGTGAAGCAGCTGGAGGTTGAAATGGGTCAATCAATGGAGATGGGCACTATTCATGCGGGAGATTTCCTGGTCAGACATTTCATTCATTCCCTGTTTGTTAGTCAAAGTTCACATCGCATAAATTTGCTATCTTCTACTAAATTCTATATTGTTATGAAAAAAATTGCTAGTTATTTCATGCTGGCTGCTGACATGTCTTATTTGCAAATCTGACAGAGGCGTTTCTGTTCATCTCTTGGCATGGCTAACCAAGCTGTTAAAGCTGCTCAAGAAGCAGTTCAGAAGTCAGAAGAACTTGATATAAGGTACTGTTTTAGAATGTGTGAATATAGTTGGTTGATTTCCCTCACAGTCACTTTCTTTTGTAAAATTCTAGGTTATGTGTATCATATCATTCTCTTTCTTAGGTTTTTATTTCCTCAAGTGTTATCAACTTGTTCAATTGTTTGAACCATACTTGTCAAAAGCTTGGTGGGCTTGCTGATCGAACTTTCAAGATAACCATTAGCATCATGTATATCCATGTAGCCATAGATGATTGTAAATAGTTGCACGTAGCTATATTTGCATATCTTTACGTGCAAGGAACCTCATCTGAGTTTTAGTAAGCATAGCTAGAGAACCAAGACTTTAAGCACGAACTCCTATTCATAGTGTTCATTAAACTTGTGTGCTGTAGACATAGGTTGAGTAGACATAGGCTGAGGAGAAGATTAACCTTCATTTTTATCTTATATGTGGAACTGAGATGTACTTCCTATTTTCACCTTATATGTAATACACATCAAAATAATTTGTGTCATGTACTTTGCTTTCTTATACAGCTAGATGTTGTGATTATCTCCTGTTGGATGTCATAATACTCCTTAAAATACAATTTTGGTTGTGTGTGAACGGGGGAGAGGGGGGTGGGGATGGGAGGGGTCATTCAGGGCCTAACTTGTGTACTGGCTTTGATATAAATTTGAGGTATTTAGCTGCAAATTATGTCTTTCACACTGTTTTTGTGACATGTATAATGGCTTAAGGTGTAGAGGCTAAAGCTTTGTCAGGTAAGGTCTATGATTAACGTCTGGCAAAAGGACCAACCATAGTCTTAGCTTCCCCACTTAGAATGCAGGTTCTCCGGAATATTTTGAGGACCCTTTTAATTGGTAATAAAACTGCCAATGCCGATCTCATGTCGGAATGAAAAGGTTAAGGTTTGGTAGGCAATTGGAAAGAACCCAGAAACTATGAAATCGTTGAATGAATTCTAATTGCAATGAAGTTAAGGCCAGCATTAATATTGGGACAATGTTTGATAATGATGAGGCAATTGGAAAGAACCCAGAAACTATGAAATCGTTGAATGAATTCTAATTGCAATGAAGTTAAGGCCAACATTAATACTGGTACAATGTTTGATAATGATGAGATTTATGATTATCCATTATTACATTGTAACTCAACTCTCACGAAAAGCACGGTGTGCATAACATTTATGGGAATATGTAGCAGTCTTTCAGGAATAATAGTTTCCCACATTTTGCAGGAGGAGCCCCATATCTATTGCAGCAGCTGTTATTTATATCATAACACAATTGTCAGAAGAGAAGAAACTTCTAAGAGGTATGTTAATGATAATATCATTATCATCGGTTCACATATCACACACTTCCTAATGAGAATGGGTGTTGCAGATATCTCAGTGGCAACGGGAGTAGCAGAAGGCACCATACGAAATTCATATAAGGATCTGCATCCCTATGTTGCCAAGATTATTCCAACTTGGTTTGCTAAGGAAGAGGATCTCAAAAATCTCTGCAGCCCATAATCCGCTTAATATTTGTTATAATACAAAGACAGTTTGAAACTCTATTGCTAGCATCAATGGTGATTTCTTCCATCATGTGGTTTGGTGATACTTCCATTTTACCTTTGTTTATCTATAGACCCAGTGATATTTGTGTTTTCGTGGATGGAGGCTAGCAGACAGAAAAAGGCCTGTAGTGAACACTAAAGGAGAGTTCTTTTGGTTATTTTGTAGACATTTCATTCTATTTCACGTGTCAATGAAGATTCTTGTCTCTTGAATGTGGATAGAAAGTACCTTCAATTTTTTATTGTTAATTTAAAGGAAACAAAGAGTTCATGTGATTTAAATCCAAAAGCAGTCGATTGATCTTGTAAGCCTCCATGTAGCGTAAAACTTCTGAGCAAATTTTGAAAACGGGGAATTTTGAAACTTTTGGTACGTGGAATTGAGGAGACTGGTGACAAACCTGGTTTTGTGAGGAGAGGAACGCTGGTCTCACCACCAAATTCTACTACTCGTGCTTGCTTTGAGTCTTACTTGAGTGGGAATATTTGATGCTCGCTTTCTTTATATTCTTAATTCTTCTGCTGCAGCTATTTACATGCATAAGACTTGTTTGAGCCTTGAATTCTTGAAATGCACCATATGCAGTCTCTGAAGCTCAGATTTTGTTCTTATGTGCTACTAATAATCTGATTCAATGTTAGGGATATCATTTGGGCAACGTCTCATTGTATTTGCCTCTGTTTGTATGGTGATATTAAGTTCTCAGTCAATGGTAAGGATAAGATTGGATTAAGTCTCAAAATTTAGTTCTTTTTTTAAATAAAAAGGGTCCACATTTGTTGTTTCTTGATAATATCCCTGCAGCTGATTTCTGAACATTTTCAGGATCTCAACAAATTATGTCGTTAACTTGTTCCTCAATCCTATAGATGCGTTTCCTCATCTTCGAATACCTAAAGGAGGGTAACCAGCCCAAATTAGACAAAGGCTACGAGTTAGCCTTCTCTAACTCATTACATCACGTACCAAGTCGAGAAAAAGAAGAATTTGTTTCCTCTGCCCTGTAGTGGAGAAATCAATACGTTCAGTTATATATAATCACACGTTAAGTTATAACCGCACATAAGGTTCATATCCTTGTGGAGGGATTTATGGGTGTGTACAGAGTTGTGTTTCTTCATGCTTTGTAGTTTTCTGTAGTGGACTTTAATATACACTCTTGGTTGGGAGTGTATATTTTCATGTAACAACCATTTTTGTTAATATTTAGCTGGCTGGATTACCTTTGTGGTAATCCATCCTTTTTCTTAAAAAAAAATAAAAAAAAAATATAACCGCACATATTATTGACAAGATTCATTACAAACTCAGCCCCGGACAACCACGTATCCAATATTTCTCCTTGCACACCTTGAAAACAACAACTACGTACGGTCCCCCAAAGTAACTAATTAGTTTCCTTCAACTTATTAATCTCGATCCCCTCTCAAACTTAAAACACCCCCTTAAGCCACCAAATTCCTAGCGAGGATCCCCTCGAAAGTAACCCCAGGTCCGAACGCAACGAAAGCCCACTCACCACCCCCCCTCCCTTCCGCCCTCCCCATCCTCTCCTCCGCCAAATAGCTCAAGCACGGTACGACGATCTGTTGGCTACTCGGCGTTCCATAAGTCCTCACGCCTCTCATGCTCGTCTCCACGACTTCTCCGGCCCGAGCTCATCCTCTCTCTGACCCTGTTTCAGGTAGTCGCGGCCCACCCCCGGGTGAACGCCCGAAAAGCAGCCTCCTAACTATCAGCGGAGCTCACCAGGTTACGCGGAACTCCTGGAGTTGTCCTCGATGAGGTGGGTGCCTCGGCGCGGTTTGAATGTTTGATGCCTTCTTTCGGTCAGGCTGCGCGTATGGTTTTGTCGGTGTTGCGGGTATGAGGTTGTGAGGGAGGAGTGTGAGCTCGAATGAGAGGGAGCTCCGTGCGGTGGGTCGGCGCAGATGGCGGCGGCTGCACGCGTCGCCGAAGAGCGGCTGCGCCGACGAGGTCGTAGTAGGGCGGGTCGGAGGAGGGAGCGGGAAGCCGGAGACGGTTGTTTCGGAGGTGGCGAGGAGGACTCTGCTGCCTGGGTTGTTCTCTGCGATGTCCTGCAATAATTAGAGAGCATACATCAGAAATGATGCCTACGTGATATTCTATAACATTTTTAGGTAGTTAATTCATGGGATTTCTGATCCCTAATAATGTTAGATTTTTTTTTTTTAAAAAACCCAGTATTCGATCAGAAAATTAGGGGGTAATTTGTTTTAGGTGAATATGAACATGAGGGTAAATAACCTGGACATGATATATATTAGGTTTTAAAAAAATCACAACCATTAAGATACTAGTAAACGAGGTAAATATTAGGTTTTACAAAAATCACCACCATTCGAATGCTGATAGACGAGATACTAACAGACGGGTGTGATTGATTGAAGTAGTAGTGTTCTTTCCTCTGCTTTGCAATGGAGAGGGATTCAAACCTGTCTTCATAAGCTAAAGTATAATTATTTTATTCACCAAGATTATTTTTAGAAAATTCATTTTAAATGAGCTTTATAGAATTTGACCTTGAATTATTCTAATAGCATTGAAGGTACTTTTCACTGTGAGATAAGCTTGTTAACCCCACACCTCACCCCACCCCACCCCAATAATAATAATAATAAATCTGGTAGCATTTGCACAATTGGAGTACTCTTAAATGACTTAACTCTGTGGCAATGAATTTAGGATGCAACTTAGTCCTTTACAAAACTATTGTGATGTAATTAGCTCTCAGATAATATTATTGAATTTCAAAAGAATATAATAAGTTCTAATAAAAGTTTAGGAAATATAAACCCTTATTCAGAAAAAATTTGTATGCTATATTTTGTGATTTTTAGAATTTATCATTAGCCAGGTTATATATATGCATAACTAAGGTAAAAGATAGAAGCGTTCCTTGGCGACACGAAGGCCCGCCACACCACCGGAGCACCCCGAAAAACACAGCATAACACGGCGGACATCAGGAGCGAGGCCGAGGGCACGAGCAAGATGGAGATCTCCGCCTGGGAAGCGGACCTCGCTGGAGGAGACGTAGACGAGGTGGGTGATGCGGAGAGGCCCCGCCATGCATCGGCCGATTGCAGATGGAGAGGCGCGGCCGCCATTCGGTCACCGCCTTGTGGGAGACTTCCAGGCGTTGTTGTACCGTAGGGAGGCCTTCTTTAGCCAATTCTGGGTATTTGTTCAGGATCTCTTCCGACATGACCACGTACCTCGTTTTCACTGTAGTAGTCTTGCCTGCAATTGAAACTTTTTTTGTTATGGAAAAAAATTTGTTGTGGGTTCGTTGAAGTCCAAAATTGCGTACGGTATCATATGTTCAGTTAGATGTATCGCGTGCACTGTTGAGGGATGATTATTTAGCATCTAGATTTCGAATACGATCATCTTGGACCCCGCCGGTGGGCTGTGCTCAAGTCCCCCGTTGTGCACAAGTTCGGCACACAACCGTCCACTCGCATGCGGATGGTTCTGAGGTGACCCGGACTCATTGCGTTTCTTAATGCTTGAACAGGGTTATTTGTTCGGTATACATGAACATCAAACTAACTATTATAATGCGGAGATAGTTATGATGTTTTAATGTAGTGCATCTATTGTAGTTGTTGGACATGAATGTATCTCCTAAGATACTTGTACATGTTAATAGAGAGATAACTTCAGTTGAATATCAGATGGTGTAAAATGCTGATAAAATTTTAAGGGTACGTAATAATTTACTAACCTTGTATAAGTCAGGAGTTGTATTTAGAATTAACTCCTAGAATAACATGATTTCAGAGGTTAAATGAACTTGTCAATTTAGTTCAGAATACGAACAACATTCTATTTCACGTTATCTTTATCTCCTATTAAAACCATTAATTAGTTAAGGAGACTACTTTTTTTTCTCCCAAAAATATAATATGACTAGGGTTGGGCGTGGGTCAGGTCGACCCGCGGGCTGGCTCGGCCCAGTACGCCATGTGTCACGACTCGGCCCGACCCACAGTGGGCCGGGTCTGATCCGGCTGGTGACTTACCCGGGTCATTGGTCGGGTTGGGTTTAGCCCTAGACCCGGGGTCAGAGAAGCAGACCCATCTCCAACCAGAACCCAATCTGGTCTGACAACCCCCCCCCCCCCCCCCCCAATGATATATTTATTGGTCAGTTTAGCTGTCTTTGTAGCCTTTGGATCTGCAGCTAGGCGGCTACCAAAACCAAAGAATATTATGTCTTTGGCTTGTGGGTCTTTTGGCAATAACAAACAAAACAGTGACCTTTAAGCTCGCTGCTATCTAATTGGAAGGATTAAAAAGTTTAATACAAATTTAAAAATAGTTTAATATAAGTTTAAATTACTAAAAAAATTAGAAATAATTTTATAATTGTAAGTACACATTTAATATAATTAAAAAGGTAAAAAAATAAAAAAAAATTGGATGAAAAACTCATGGGACCCACGGCCCGTGGGCAGAATCAGACCCGACAAGCACTAAGCAGGTCGTGGCTTGGGTTGGATCTAGCCTTGAACCCGGGTTAAAAAAATAGGCCCCGGCCTACTCTGCTCTGACCAGGGCCGGGTTCGGCCCGACTTTGAACGCGACAGGCTGCGTCATGGGCTTGCACCGGCCGGGCCTATATCCGCCCCTAAATCTGACCAGCAAAAGGTGCATAACAATTCATAAAAAATAACATTAATTTTTCCCCCCTGCCTGGTTGTTTTCAAAGATAAATTCTTTAAAAAGTATGCAGAAAGGAGATGGGAAAAAAAGTAAACAGGAAGAAAGGAGCGGTACAAGTTGCTGATTCAGTTGCGAGAATAATCATTCTACATAGATAGTAGGTTCCTCTGTTTCTAGGTCCCCCTGCTACTTGTACTGACAAAGGTCACTATATTTCATGTTTGACGTGAGGATCGTCTGTGAAGTCTAATCAAAAAGTAGAAGCAATTTTTTTTTTTTTTTTTGAGAGAGGAAAGTAGTAATTTAACGGGTTAATTGCGAACAGAGCTCATATAGCATAACCTAATAATCGTGAATAGACTTACTATAGTTCTATTTTGCTCGAAAAAATTTACTAAGAAAGTGTATTCGAAATCGAGCCAAATATTAGAGGAGGTCTACTCACCAAATTTAAACTATAGGGGTCTATTCGCCATTAGGTGATACAACAGGGGGTATATTGGCAATTAACCCAAATAACAGCAGTAAATTTGCAAAAAGTATGTGACGCTATTTTTTTTTATATAATTATGAAAATTTTAAAGAGGATGTATTTGCGAAAGGTGAAAGATGTAATAATGGAGGGGAGCTCAAAAATTACAGAGGCGAGCCAGCTTCTGTTTGAGCTCAGGGTCCTCGCAGTTAGTGTTCTTGAAGTAGCCATCCACGAGGTAATCTTGCATCACAATTTGATGAGGAAAAGCCTTGCCGAGCGCAAGAATGCAGGCCTTGCCCTTGTTGGCTCTCAACGGACTCCTCTCTCCAGTGCTCCCCATGATATTAGAGAACTTGAGATGCTCGAAAATTGGAGGAGTAACTGGTTGTGCCATATATATATATATATATATATTTTGGTTTCTTTCAGATTTATTTTCTTGTTTCAATTGTGAAATCTATAGGTTCGATAGGTTCTAGTTGAGAAGCAAGGTGTGCATGTGTTGGGTTTGTAGTTGGTGATTAGGACCAGAGTTTGGTTGTGATTTTTCTTGGAAGGACAAGTATAAGATGATGTTTAGTATGCGTGCGCTGTACATCAAAAGCAAAGTCAGTATGTGATGATAATCGTAGAGACGCCATCTTGGGCTTGTCACTTCGAAAAAAGAAAGAAAAAAATTACGTGAGCCGAGCGTTGAGGAAGCTGCTATACTCGGGTATGTTGAAGAACCTAACAGCTCTGTGGTGGCTGCCCATCTTAATCTTGGGTATAACCATCTCGTATATGATCTGGCTTTCTTTTGGATTGGGAAGTTGGGAAATGGCAAAATGTCAAGTATATTATGAGAGTTGTACTACTTTTATAATGCAACACGTAAAAAAAAAGAACCATAACAACTCTTGTTTTATAAGAAAGAGTCTTATTTTCTGTGTGTAGTAGTACAAGAGTAGAACTATTACCTACTAATAAGCTGTTGGGGTTCCGAGGATAAACACAAACGTTGAGAGAGAAGGCCAAACACAATCAAAATAACGACACGAACACAAACAAATGAATTTTACGTGGTTCGGCAAGTTGCCTACGTCCACGGGGCAAGAAGGGAATGAGTTTTCACTAATAGAGAAGGAGGCTACAAATAGAGATTACAAATTCACTTGAAATCTCTCAAACAAACCTCTCAAATCTCCCAAACAAAACCCTAACCAAATTGCTCAGAAAACTCTCTTTTCTGTGTACAAAACAAACCCCTTTTTCAACTCCCCAAAAAACCCTAAAGTCTTGTTTGTATTTATACCAAACACAAATCTCAATCAGAACAGGAAACCACAATCAGGCCCAAACCCGACTGGCGGTCGACCGTCGAAATCGTCGCGCTCGACCGTCGAAATCGTCGCGCTCGACCGACCAAAAAGACAGAAACCAAAAATCGATTACAGGTTTTGGCGGTCGACTAGCCAGAGTGCAGAAACACACTCTGCACTCGTGCACGTTTCCGATCGACCACACATGTTGCCGCGGTCGACCGGACAACACCCAGACTGTTTCCTGCTTCGTTTTTCCTGAACTTCGTCACCGTTTTCGCCGTTTCTACATAAGCCTTGTTCTTTTAACTAAAATAAAATAGTGAAATGTTTGGTTTAAAATTTTGGGAAGAATCAAATCCGTTTTGCAGAGTAAATAAAGTGGTTATGGTGGTATTGAAAAGTTTCCTGAACTTCGTCGATGTTTTCGCCGTTTCTACATAAGCAATGTTATATATTTTAACTAAAATAAAACAGTGAAATGTTTGGTTTAAATTTTTGGGAAGAATCAAATCTGTTCGCAGAGTAAATAAAGTGGATAGGGTGCTATTGAAAAGACCCTTTGAAATACATAAATATATATCTCTCTCTCTCCTCTCTCTCTCTCTCAATACGTTTGGGTTCTCAATAAAAAACCCCAAGTTTGAAACTCAACACCCAACTGTAGTAAGATGATAATATTAACAAACTGGAAACTCTCTCTCAAAATGTATTTGGATTCTCAATAAAAAAAGGATGAATAACACTAAATCCCCCTGAGCATAGAAACAGAGAAGAAATCTTATTGATGCTGAAAGTAAACAGAGGATTATATCTTATACTTCTCAATAGCAAGATAACCACTTATCTTAACTACATATATCTCTTATCTAATAATTGACCAACTAACCAAAAATATCACTAAGGATATCTTCGTATCATCAACACTCCCCATCAAGTTGGCGCATACACATCGTGAATACCCAACTTGCCTAACAAGAAATAAAACTGTGGTCTAGCAAGTGCCTTTGTGAAAATGTCTGATGACTGAAATTGTGAACGAATGTGCGCCATAACGATTTTTCCAGTCTGCACTTGTTCTTGAATAAAATGACAATCTATCTCAATATGCTTCGCGCTCATGAAAGACTGGATTGGTCTCTATGTGAATAGCCAACTGATTATCACAAAATAATTCCATCGGTTGTCCGTGATCTACCAAAAATAAGGTCAACAAAGACTTCAACCATACAAGTTCACTCATTGTGGCTGCCATAGCTCGGTACTCTGCTTCTGTCGACAATCTCGAGACGGTGCTTTGTTTCTTTATTTTCCATGAAATGGGTGACTCCTCGATTGTGATGAAGTAGTCATTATCTAAGCGATGAGTAATTGGACAACTAGCCCAATCTGAATCGCAATAGGCTCGTATTCTCAAATCACAATTAGATCATAGTAGAATCCCTTGACCTGGACTTCCTTTGATGTATCTCACGACTTGCATTGCTGCCTCAAAATGCTCTTTTCGAGGAGCTTGAGCAAATTTGTAAAGAACATGAACTACATATGAAATCTCTTGACGTGTGATGGTTAAATAGATCAAACGACCTACAAGTCGTCGATAGCTCGCACCATTTGTTTCCTCCCCCTCGGCCAGAGAAAGCTTGTGGCCCTACTCCATAGGTGTCTTGGCCGACTTACTCCCAAGTAATCCAGTCTCAGCAAGAATCTCCAAGGCATACTTCCTTTGACACAAGGAAATGCCAATATGCGACCTAGCAACCTTAATGCCAAGAAAGGATTTTAAAGAACCCAAATCCTTGATATGAAAACACTCATGTAAGTAGCGTTTGAAAGCCTCACATTCATCATGATTATTCCTGACTAATATAATGTCGTCGACATACACAAGAAGACCCATGAACACGCCATGTCGATGATAAGTAAATAAAGAATAATCTGCCAAGGATTGAGAAAAACAATACCGCGTACGTGCTCCGATCAATTTATTGAACCAATTTCGTGAAGCTTGGTGTAGTCCATAATTGGATTTACGAAGATGACAAATACGATCTCCACAATCAGTTCGAAAACCTTGAGGTAGTTTCATGTACACTTCCTCATCGAGATCTCCATGTAGGAAGGCATTATTCACGTCCATTTGATATAGTTCCCATCCTCGCGCCGCTGCAACTGAAAGAAAAACTCGAACTGAAACAAGCTTAGCAACTGGTGCGAACGTCTCATGAAAATCGAGTCCCTCTACTTGCGTGAATCCCTTGGCAACGAGTCGTGCTTTGTACCATTCCACAGTCCCGTCCGCTTTGTGTTTGACTTTGTAAACCCAACGACAATCTATTAGCTTCTTTCCTTTAGGTAGTACCTCAAGTATCCAGGTTTGATTGGCCTAAAGTACTTCAATTTCTTTGGCCATCACTTCACACCATCGTTCATTCTGAACCGCCTCTGCATATGATTGTGATTCCACATCCGAAGTAATAGCTCTAATAAAACACCTGTGATTTCTATGTTAAATTATCAAATGTTACATAATGAGCTAAAGAATGAGGTATACCTGAGTCGCTTTCATGTCGCGGTAGCTTGGGGG